CAAAAATTAAATAAGATAGGTTTATCATATAATGACACAAAGAGACATATTTTAGATAATAATATTGAAACATTAGCTTGGGGTCATTATAAACTGCGTTAAGTGTTGATAGTTTTTACTTTTATGTCTGCGTTTAAGAAAAATTTATATTGATTGTAAAATTATGATAATACTATAATATGACGTAGTTTATTACATATTTAAACATTGTTTTATTGTAAATAATTTAAGTTAATTGTTGTTTCTATTTATTTGAGGTTGAGTTAATTGTAAAATTATGATGTACTAATTGTTGTTTCTATTTATTTGAGGTTGAGTTAATTGTAAAATTATGATGTACTAATTGTGTTAGAAATAGTATACAGATAATTCTGTTTTATATAATTTTTGGAATATATATTAATTGTTTACACCAACACTTTCATTTTTTATTTCACCCCTTTGAACTTTAGACGTGTGTTATGTTTCACTTTATCCATCCGTTCACTGCTATTGTGGCAGGACCAAGTGGGTGTGGGAAGTCAAATTTTGTAACAAATTTCATAAAATCAGTTACAGAAATATGTAATTGTGATTTTAATCAGATCACATGGTGCTTTGATGAAATGCAACCATTATATAATTTACCAAATGTTAACTATCATCGAGGAATTCCAAATCTTAATATGTTTGATGGTGAAAACCCACATCTTGTTATTATTGATGATCTAATGAGAGAGTCCGATGGAAGAATTGTGGATATATTTACAAAAGGTAGTCATCACAGGAATCTTAGTGTATTTTATCTAACACAAAATTTATTTCATCAGGGTAAAGGACAAAGAGACATATCTTTAAACTCAAGTTATATAATATATTTTAAAAACCCTCGAGATAAAACTCAAATAAGATATTTAGCAAGACAAGTATCACCAGATAACCCAAAATTCATTGAAAATGCCTACAGGGATGCAACTCTAGAGGCACATGGATATTTAATGGTAGATTTAAAACAGAATACCAATGATTTTTGTCGTATCAAGACAAATGTCTTTCCATTTAATGGTTTCTGTACAGTCTACGTCCCCACAAAAGAGTTTAAATACACCAAGAATCAAACAATTGAAATCATTGCTAAATGATGCATCGTCGACTCACAACGTATAAACATTTGCTAACCGCTTTGCATACGCTTAAACCAAAATATCAAAGAGCATTACTTAAAACGTGTGATGAAGAAGAAATTAACTGTATTTGTGAGTGTATTCATAACGTTTTACAAGGAAAAGTACCTCTTAAAGATCAGGATAAACAAAAATTGAATAAACATAAAAACATACTCCGTAAACTAGTACGTAAGTGTAAACATAAACTAAGAAAAAATATAATTATACAAAAAGGAGGGGCTTTCTTACCAACAATATTAGGTGCAATATTGAGTGGATTAGTGAGTGGACTAGCCAGTTAACATGGAAAATGCAAAGAAAATGATACTTATCGAACCTGGATTGATTGAAAAATTAAAACAAGAAAATAAGGTTAATAGTAATTTATCTCGATTAGATATTGAAATGCAAAATATTATGAATAGTAAGACGGAAGACCGAAAGAAATGGATATTATATTTACAAACACTGCAAAGATACCTTCATTTTACCGAAGAGCATCGTCAACCACTCAAATTACCAATTTATTCTGATACATCTAATGAAGATTCAAATGAGTCAAAAATTGGTTTTAAAAATAAAGATAGAGATCTAAAAACTTCAGTTGATATTGAATCTTTGCTGGAGGAGAATCGATCCATTAAAAGTAAAGAAAATGATGAAAATCCACTTTACACACCAGCTCAAATACTCAGTTTAATACCAAAAACTTATCATAAAAAAGGGCAGTTATTATTAAACTTAGTTGAAACAAGTAAAAGTAAAATACATTGGGATAACGAAGGTACAGTCATAATTGATAGTGAAAAAATTCCTGGAAGTAATATTGTTGATTTAATAAATGATTCACTAAGACCCCTAAAAAGAAGTGATCCGGTAGGGTGGGTTAGATTTGCTGAAGCATTAAAAGATATTAAAGTACCACTTACTTATATTGGAAATCCAAGGAGATGTGAGTTTATTAACCAACTTCAAGCAAAAGATCTGAACAAACCCTCTGAGATTGAAGTTCAAGAGTTTTCTACACCGTGCAGTAGAGATAAAAACTCTACAACTAAAATACGTAAAGGACTTGAGTGGGAAAAATGGACTCCGTACTAGAAGAAATTAACAGGATTTATTATGATCCATCTAATCCCGCTGGTTTTGGTAGTATTGATAAATTATCAAAAGCCATGAAGGGTAAAATGAATAAAAAGCAAGTAAAGGAATGGTTAAAATCACAAGAAACATACACATTACATAAACCCATTCGAAAAAAATTCCCGCGTAATAGGTACATTCTATCAAATATTAATGAACTGTGGCAAGCTGATTTAAGTGATATGCGAACTTATTCTCAATATAATGATGGTTTCAAGTATATACTTTGTATTATTGATGTATTTAGTAAATATGCTTTTGCAAGACCAATGAAAAAGAAAAACTCAGAAACAACTAAAGAATGTTTTGAAAGTATATTTACTGAAAGTAATTTAACACCTACTCACATACAATCCGATAAAGGTACAGAATTTGTTTCAAAAGATGTACAAAAATACTTTAAATCCAAAAAGATTAATTACTATACCACTAACAATCCTGACATTAAGGCCAGTATTGTTGAACGATTTCAAAGAACACTAAAAATGAAAATGTGGCGTTATTTCACTCATAATAATACTTATAGATATATAGATGTTTTACAAGATTTAATATACTCTTATAATCACAGCTTTCACTCTAGTATTAAGATGTGCCTATGTGATGTAAATTCCAACAATATTATGACAGTTTGGACTAATCTTTATGATAGACGGTCAAAAAAACTTTCTTTAGAAAATCCTAAACCAAATTTCAATGTGGGTGATTATGTTCGAATAACTAAATATAAACATGTATTCCAAAAAGGATATGAATCAAATTGGAGTGATGAAATATTTATTATATCTTCAATAATTGATAGATCTCCATGGGTTGTTTATACAATAACAGATTTACAAAATGAACCAATAATTGGTACTTTTTATAAAAGAGAATTACAGAAAATCACTTACAACCCCACCTCACAACATAAAATAGATAAAATAATTGACACTCGTTATTCGGGTAACAGAAAAGAAGTATTAGTGAAGTGGAAAGGTTATCCAGATAAATTTAACAGTTGGATTTTAGCTTCTAGTTTAAAAGAAATATGAATAAAGAAAGTTTCTATTTAACTTTGCTCAGCAATAGTTCAATGGAATACTTTCCTGATAACAAGACCACAAATTTTTCAACGAAATTACCAAAAGCTATAAAATTAGAAGGTGAATGGTCGGTTGGAGTTGTCGAGTTTCAATATCCATGTACCATGTTTACTGTTCAAGACCATGAAAATGTTATATACATTACAAAATCTATGTTAATGCCTAATGAAGATAAGCCATCCACAGTGTACTACAAAAAACATATTCCAGCTACCAACTATGATAACGTTGAGCATATTTTAAGAGTGTTAAATGGTATCGGAGAGAACTTGAAATTTCGCTATGATGAAATAACAAAATTTGTGTCTATTTCGGTATTGGATAAAAATATAACATCCGTAACATTATCACCCAAATTAAGTTTACAGCTAGGTTATGAACCAAATAAAAATCTCCTAGAGAGAAATTTTGGAAAGTGTCCTGCTAATTTACACTTAGGGTTACCATCTCAACTATTTCTATATTGCGATATTATCGATCCTCAGATTGTGGGTGATGTTATGACTCCTTTATTAAGAGTCATTTCATTAGATCCTACAAAACACATTTATGGTGCAAATAAAATGCACGTTTTCTCTCAACCTCACTACTTACCTGTTATGCGAAGAGAGTTCGATACGTTGGAAATAGTTATAAGATCGAGTACAGGACAAAAAATACCATTCCAGTTTGGAACCGTGTGTATTAAACTACATTTCCGAAAATTATAATAATGAATTCTCTTCGTGATCATCATAAATGTCCATATGAAAATTATTATACACATCAAGCTGGATCAGGAGTTGGAGTAATTTATAAGGGTTCACCATATCAACGCGGTCATGGTATTGGGAGCTTCTTAGGGGGGTTATTCAGATCAGTTTTACCTTTACTTTCAAGTGGTGCTCGAGTGATTGGTAAGGAGGCATTAAGCGCTGGAGTAGGACTTTTATCGGATATGGTTCAAGCCCGTCCTATGGAAGCCTCAATAAAAGATCGTCTAAAGCAAGTTAGTACGAATTTAAAACGAAAGGCTGATGAGAAAATTGATCAATTTAACATGACTGGATCTGGGTATAAAACTAAAAGAAAACGATTGACATCGTTCATTCCACCATTAACTGCTAAAGTGAAAGCTGCGAAAAAACTTAGTCTAAAACCAAAAAATATCAAAGATATATTTTCAAACTAAATATGTCTTTCCTTCATAATCATTCTTGCGAGTGCGTTAAGTCAGAATTGGATTTGTTTGCACTACCGTCTACACAAACTAGCATTGAAAATGGATTGTGGATTCATTATAAACCAATTTCATCTCTTGGTGATGATGGACCTATCGAGTTTCAAGTTCCTGGGACCGGCGATGACTACATAGATTTGTCTCATACATTACTCCACATAAAGGCAAAAGTATTAAATCAAGATTCAACTAACTTGGTATCTACTACAATAGTAGTAATATATAGTAAATAATTGGCTGCATTCACTTTTTAGTCAACTTGATGTTTATTTAAACCAAAAACTTGTATCACCACCTAATAATACCTATGCATATCGAGCATACATGGAAACCCTTTTAAACTATGCCCCTGCTGCTAAACAATCTCATCTTACTTGTAGTCTTTGGTATGAGGATACAGCAGGAAAAATGGATTCTACAGATGGTAAAAACATAGGATTTGTTAAAAGACAGGAATTGATTAGTGAAAGTAAGGAAATAGAAATGATTGGTCATCTTCACGGTGACATTTTTAACCAAGATAAATTTTTAGTTAATGGTGTTGAAATGAGTGTTAAATTGGTTCGATCAAGAGAGAGTTTTAATTTAATTGTTGGATCAAACGATGTAAAGTTTAAAGTTTGTATTACGGACGCAACTCTTATTGTTCGACGAGCACGAATTAATCCAAGTGTATTACTCGCACATCAAAAAGTTTTAGCTTCTACCACTGCTAAATATCCTATTACTCGAGCTGAAGTAAAAGTTTTAACAATTCCTTCGGGTGTTCAAGGAAAAACTCTTGATAATATATTTTTAGGACAGGTACCGAAAAGATGTATAATTGGATTTGTGAACAATTCTGCATTTAATGGTTCCCTTACTAAAAATCCATTTAACTTTGAAAACTATGGTATTAATTCTTTCAGCTTATATATTGATGGTCAACAAATACCTTCAAAAGCTTTGCAACCATCTTTTAATAATAGCATATTTACATCAGCATATCATACTCTATTCTCGGGAACTGGTATTCACTTTCTTAATGAAGGAAATGGAATCTCTTGTGAACAGTATGGCAAAGGTTACTGTCTATTAGCATTTGACTTAACTCCTGATTTATCAGCTAACTCATCAACTCATTGGAATCTCATAAAGCATGGTAGTGTAAGAATAGAAGTACGATTTGAATCCTCATTAATACAAACAATTAACTGTATAGTTTATGCTGAGTTTGATAATATTATTGAGATAGATAAAAACAGAAATGTTACTGTAGACTATAGTAGTTAAGGTTATAATATGTGTTGTGTGTTAGATTTTATGTGTTATGTGTAATGCATTTTGTGTGTATGTAACTATGTGAAACGTTATAAAATTAAATAAAACAAATTGTATGCAATATATTTTTTTTATTTCTTTATAAATCTTCTATTTAATCTAATATAAAACACTGTTCGAGTTGAAATTTTACATAAGCACACTGACTAAACCACTGAACATGCTGCTGCCAAGGATCATCATCATCTTCCCAATCTTTTAAACCACCACCACAATGGAAACACTTGGTCCCGTCTGCATGGCCAGTATAAAAGAAACCAGCTTCTGCAAGATCTTCAGGTTTCTGTCGCATAACTAGAGGCCAGTTTTCGAAACTAAGCAAACGGCTAGATTTTGAACTGAAGAATGGATATTCAGCTCTTGAGTACTGCATACTCTTCTCGTTTTCTTCTCCACTCAGTGTTGTAGTTTTGTTATTCAATGATGTGTTTTGTACACGTATGCCACACTCATCTCTTCCTTCCGCTCTTGTCTTCCTGTAATTGAAGTAAACAGAATCACATTCACTAATGATCAGCTAATGACTGTCATTGTTAAAAAAGTATTTTTTAACTTTTTCACTTTCTGCTATTGTCTTTGTTATATTGTATACGAGGGCGTTTGTGTTGTCGTAGATGCTATCCTTATTAGTCTTTACGTAATATTTAATTCTAGTGGAAGCATGTTTCCAATGATCAGTAGTTGGAATCTTGGATAGCTTCTTCATATCGTACATTTCAATTTTGATGAGATGCGTCGCTTGGTCTCCGTCGTCAGAATTAGAAGAAATGTATGATACACCATCTCTAGCGGCTCGTGCTACGGTTGATGATAACAGCTTCCTCTTTTTTATTTTTGATTCAGCTTCAAAAAATGATCAATCGATTGCGATTTTCTTTTTCCACCATCGCATGTGTTATTATTAATGACGAGGTTATCACTCTCTTCTTGAGGGGAGAGTGGCGAGTAGTAATACTGTTTATAGGTATCTTCATCGAAGCTCAATGATTTCTGCAACAACACAGTTATCATGTTAATATCAATTTGTTAACACTTAATCATAAAAGTTAAAAAAGTTAAAGTTACAGCCTATTAAAGTCCACTGCTGAACATAGGCCTCCTCTCATTTCTGAGAGGGTTTTAGAGCAAGGAAATGTCCGCCGCGCTCCCTCAATGTGTGTTGGCGAACTTCACATGCCTTCGAAATTTTCTCAGACATGCAGGTTTCCTCACGATGTTTTCCTTCACCACCAAGCACGTGGTAATAAGCACTTAAAATTGCTATTAACAATTTAATTGGTGCTGGCGGGGATCGAACCCGGGTCGCGTACTGTGAAATTTACAGCTAGCGCTAACCATCTGAGTTACCACGGCTTAATCATATACATACACAATATTTAAATAAAATAATACACACACATGAAAATAACAGAAAAAAAGTAATTTAGTCAATAGAATAAACACTTACATCCATAGCCTTTGGTGTATTGAAGTAACACAAATGTACTATTGATAGATCCACTGTAGCCAAACGACCGTACACTAACTCGATGACTGCGTTTGTTGGTCTTATATACCACCAGTACGTAAAAATTCTAATCTAAAGTATTTCCGTAATGAGTTGATAATTACTTTATGCGTCAACCAGTTTATCTCACATTTCCGTTGCCTATCTCAACATTTCTTCGTATTGTGTTTTGTTTGGTGATCAATGACTCAAGTACGATTTGTATAACACAAAAATGGAATTTAATATTTAGAAACATATCAGTTTATCTCACATTTCCGTTGCCTATCTCAACATTTCTTCGTATTGTGTTTTGTTTGGTGATCAATGACTCAAGTACGATTTGTATATCACAAAAATGCAATTTAATATGTAGAAATCACTATAATTGACCATTCCTATGTTATTCATTGAGTAGCTAGGTACTGTAATAATCTACTAATAGCAGTAATATCATGGATACACTAGATGTACAACAACATCTGAAAAAGATTCACCCCAGTCTAGAAAATAATGTTTATGCAGCTAATAGACTGCCTATGTATACCCACGTACCAACGTATATAATATGTAATTTGGATACAGATGATAAACCAGGGTCACATTGGGTAGCTTTATATATCGATACGAATGACGTCGGTCAATATTTTGATTCATATGGACGATCACCTGTACGATATCATCTAGAGTTTTTAAAAAGGAATTGTAAAAGATGGAACTGGAATGTTGATAGGATTCAGAATGAGTGGACTTCAGTTTGTGGCGAATATTGCTTAATGTATTTACTATATAAGTTTCAAGGATGTTCAATACATAGTTTTACGAGTATATTTACAAGGAACACATTGTACAACGATATTTTAGTGGATGAGATGTTTCGCTCCTATTTTATAGATAATAATTAATAAGATTTTGTATTTTATAAATAAAAATTGTAACAAAATTATGTAATGTGTTTTATTGATGATTCAGATTAGCGTTGTATAAACAAAGAATTATAATAAACAATAGCACTGATATAGTCGACGCACACGCTGCAATGAAGGTGATTAAGGAACAATAGAACAATAGAAATAGGAACAATGGGACGCTAATGACGGTGGAGGCCCTTACCGGATATCAATTAGATATTAGCTAATTGATCTACACATCTCTGGAACCGTGCATTCTATATTTTTTTTTTTTTTTTTTTTCAGGATCGGGCGTCGACGAACGTCGTTGAACCACGTCTGACTCAGGTGGTCTAGAAGTGGTACAACTACACTACTCATGTGCAATCCAAACACTTCTTAGACAATATTCGCACTTATAATAGTGCGTTTCAAATGACATCCTTAGATGCTCAACAAATCTCAGAAGGTCCTTTCGTGCCTACTTTTAAGATACAAGGTCTGGTTTACCATTTGATAGGATCCCTTCTGCCTGAAGACCAACCTAAGTTTCTTCAAATATACGAGGGTGGATTGAAAAGTACTCGGCCTAACACAGATCCATTCAATTCTAAAAATCACATCTACCCACATTATTTAGTTCAGTTCGGACTAGTTCATTGTGTGAAGTTCGAAACGTGTGCGATAATTAGTTGTGATTTTATAAATTTATTAACAAAGTAATCGGACATAATTTCCGCGAATGGAGCAAATCGAGCAGCGTGCCGTCATTAAGTACCTCCATAAGAAGGGGCTATCATCAAAAGCCATCCATGATGACATGGTCAGTACATTAGGCGATTGTGCTCTGTCATATTCATCCGTCAAAAAATGGATAGCAGAATTTAAGCGTGGTAGAGAGAGTGTGAAAGATGAACCCCGCTCTGGAAGGCCTTCGACGTCAACTACTGACGAAAATATTAAAAAAGTACTTGATTTAATAATGGGAGACCGCAGATTAAAAATTAGAGAGATAGCCGAGATTATAGGCATCTCTTATGAACGAACTCAAAACATCATTGTCAACGAGTTGGGTTTCCACAAGGTGTCTGCGAGGTGGGTTCCGCGACTGCTTTCAGTTGAACAAAAAAGGACGCGATTGACTATTTCACGCGACTGTTTGGAGTTATTTGAAGCCGATGCAGATGATTTTTTGAATCGTTTTGTTACTATGGACGAAACATGGGTTCATTACTGTACACCGGAAACAAAACAACAATAAAAACAGTGGAGAAGACCTGGTTCACCACCCCCTAAAAAGGCTAAGTCGATTTTGTCGGCAAATAAGGTGATGGCTTCAGTATTCTGGGACTCGAAAGGTGTGATTATGATTGATTATCTTGAAAGGGGTCAGAATATAAACTCTGATCACTACTGCACCTTACTACGTCGTTTACGAGAGGAAATAAAAGAAAAACGTCGAGGAATGCTCAGAAGAAAAGTCCTGTTTCATCAAGATAACGCCCGTGTTCACACGTCAGTACAGTCAATGGATGAAATTCACAACTGTGGCTTTGAACTGTTACCGCATCCGCCGTATTCACCTGATCTGGCACCATCGGACTTCTTTCTGTTCCCTAACCTAAAAAAGCACTTGGGAGGTCAAAGATTTTCGACAAACGACGAGGTCAAAGCAGCTGTAGACGCATATTTTGACTCTAAGGAAGAATCATTTTTTTTCAACGGTCTAAATGCTTGGAAGGGGAGGTGGCAAAAGTGTATTGAACTTGATGGTGATTATGTAGAAAAATAAAAATATAACTGATTTAGTATTTGTTTATTTTCTTGGTTAGGCCGAGTACTTTTCAATCCACTATTTTGTATCCGACTACAACGAACAGTCGAATATAAGAAATCAATATTTCCAGAATTTAAATACTGAACTTATTTCACAACTTCAGAACATGTTGCATTAGGTTAATTCGTATGTATGCAGTTTTAAATCGGCATTAGAAGCTCTTCCTCAAGATGGTGAAAACAATTATAAAATTGTTATAAATGCCGATAGGCGTCCTACTCAGGAACACCCTGGGCGTTATAACGTTCCATCCACGAATCAAGTTGCTGTAGTATTGGTCGACCAGGAATGTGGTAGGCGTGATATCGTTATCCGTTCCAGAGACAATCGTTTGCAACGTATTTACGAAACCCACAGTGCTTACGACAGTTTGCAATATCCTTTGATATACTCTCGAGGGGAAGATGGTTATAATTTCGCTTTATACCAAACTGACCCGCGTACAGGCGCACCTAATTATAATAAAAAGATGTCGTGCCTTCAATTTTATTGTTACCACTTGCAAGTGAGACGAAATAGATATTTGTATACTTTAAACGTTTTCATGGCTTATTCAATCAGTTTATTGTTGACATGTACGCAAAAATTGAAACCGAAAGATTAGTTTATATACGATCTAATCAAAGGCAGTTGCGCGCTGAAGAATACGTGCACCTTTGCGACGCCATGTAGTAAGATAATCATACGGTGAATATGGGCTGTTTAGTTATTTTACCCTCTTCTTTTACTGGTGGTCCAC